CCTTTGCAGCGCCAACGAGGGGAGGAAAGTTTCGGAAAAAAATCCAGCCGGAGATGGATTAAGGGGGAGGTGCTGGGTGGGGGGGGGGAGGAGGAGGAGGAGGAGGAGGAGGAGGAGGAGGAGGAGGAGGAGGATTAGGGCTAGAGGAGGAGGAGGAGGGCAAGGGAAGGAGGAGGAAGAGGAGGAGGAGGAGGAGGAGGAGGAGGAGGAGGAGGAGGAGGAGGAGGAGGGGGAGGAAGAGGAGGAGGAAGAGGAGGAGGAGGAGGAGGAGGAGGAGGGCTAGAGGAGGAGGAGGAGGGCAAGGGAAGGAGGAGGAAGAGGAGGAGGAGGAGGAGGAGGAGGAGGAGGAGGAGGAGGAGGGGGAGGAAGAGGAGGAGGAGGAGGAGGAGGAGGGGGAGGAAGAGGAGGAGGAGGGCTAGAGGAGGAGGAGGAGGGCAAGGGAAGGAGGAGGAAGAGGAAGAGGAGGAGGAGGAGGAGGAGGAGGAGGAGGAGGAGGAGGAAGAGGGCTACAGAAGGAGGAGGAGGGCAAGAGAAGGAGGAGGAGGAGGAGGAGGAGGAGGAGGAGGAGGAGGAGGAGGAGGAGGAGGAGGAGGAGGGGGAGGAGGAGAAGGAAGAGGGCAAGGGAAGTAGTAGTAGTAGTAGTAGTAGTAGTAGTAGTAGGAGGAGGAGGAGGAGGAGGAGGAGGAGGAGGAGGAGGAGGAGGAGGAGGAGGAGGAGGTGGTGGTGATAGAGGAAGAGGAAGAGAAAGAAGAGGAGGAGGTGATGAAGGAGATGAAGGAGATGAAGGAGGAGGAGAAGGAGAAGGAGAAAGAGAAGAAGAAGGAAAATGTGAAGAAGTAGAAGGAGGAGGAAGAGGAGGAGGCGGAGGAGGAGAAAAATGAGGAGGAGGGAGGAGAGGTGAAGGGGAAGGTAGTCGGTCGGCTTCCTGGCTTTTGAAAGAGAGTAAAAACCTTTCTGACGATTTTCATGTCCATTTTCCAGCCCCTTCTATGAATGACTGAGTGACCCCTCCCTCTCCCAGCCCCATTTTCTTCGAATAGTTCAAGTCCGTCCTTCTATTATTATATTTTATCTTATTTATTATATATTTATCTCTCTTTTTATTTTGAGGTAGGCGTGTTTATTTTTTCTGGTCGAATGCCTATAAAGCGAATAGACAAATAATGATAGATAGAAGTATGGATAGACAAACTGATATTAACATAAATATATATACATACATACATAAATTTATAAACATTCAGACATGCATACATGTATGCATACATACACACAGACAGACAGACAGACAGACAGACATATATATGTGTGTGTGTGTGTGTGTGTGTGTGTGTGTGTGTGTGTGTGTGTGTGTGTGTGTGTGTGTGTGTGTGTGTGTGTGTGTGTATATATATATATGCACGCATGTGTGTGTACCTGCAAACATATGTACACTACAGCAGCAGCTGACCCCTGACCAATATATGATAATTTTCATGGCCCTGTTCAGTGACTCTTTTCATATTCAGTTATTACTAGTTATGAACAGTATAATTGTGTCAGTTGCTTTAAGACAAGCATACTTCATGGGAAGATTCCAATTTATCGATATGTGAGAGATAATCATATGTAAGTATTGTTGGTGAAATAAATGAACACCTTAATTCGACGTCAAAATTTTAATTGTGCATTCATCGTTTTTTTTCGTCATAGTAAGTGTGTGAGTGAATAGCGCTTACGCCATCTCTTTCTCTTTTTTCTTTTTCTTTTTCTTTCACTTTCTCTTTCTCTCTCTCTCTTCACCTAAAGTCCCACTTCAAGTTCTACTCCAATTTTCTCCCAAGTCCCATTTCCAAGTCCAACTCCAAGTATCTCCTGAAGTGCAACTTTAAGTCCCATTGCAAGTCCCACTCCAAGACACATCCCAAATTTCACCGAAAGCCCCACTTCAAGTCCCACTTCACCTCCTAATCCAAGTCCCACTCAAAATATCCCCTCCACAGACACACTCGAAATCCGGCCACAACCTCGACACGCAACACTCAACACCGCACCCCCCACCCCCACCCCAGCCCCCCTTCCACCCTCAAAGATCCCCGGCATTTCAATTCCGGAAGCAACTGCAAGCCCACGTGTTGTCCTCGCAAGCTATCGGTCCAGCCTCGAATTTCTCTCACCGTCGTTGCCTCCGCCCGATCCCTGATTACTCTAAGTATCGATTGCGTTGATTTGAATACTAATGAAGCCAGCTGAAGCCTCCGCGACATTTGAAAAGAAGGAGGATGCTAACTGGCTCCGGAGGAAATAAACTCATCGTGCAAATGAAGCTGGAGTGATGACTAACACATGACGTTCCAAGGGATAGTCCAGTTTTGCATTTAGAGTGGAAATGGTAATGCGGTCTGGTTGTATCCTGTACACTTTCTTCGCTTTATTAATATCGAAATCTATTTATTTTTTGAACTATTTCACCATCTAACTCGCTCTTTTATTATTCATTTCACACCGTCAGCTTATACCAGACGAAAGATAAGGTACGATGTGGCAAACGCGGGGATACCATTCCACCAGCGCTTGTTATATCGAAGCCACCCCTTAAATAAAACCCATCAAAGAAAACGGACGACATGAAGGGTGTATGGGACGAAATGTCGATGGATGACTAAGTCCTTTTGACTTCCGTATTTAACCCAATCGTCCCCTATGGCAAGAATACATGCCATGTCCACTTTAATACGAGTTTATTTATTGTATTTACACATAGATGGCTCTGCAAGTGCTTAATCACCAAGGAGTCGGTTATTAGTCCTACCTATCTCAACTGTTTACCCTTTTCCTCGCCTTTTGGAAAGGGTATTTTGCATTATTTAATCCATTGCCGCCGGGGAAAATGAATATAAAATGGGGGAAATGCTGTGCTCATTCTTTTTTTTGTTTTCTTTTTGTGTATGTGTGAAATGTATCTGCACTTAGATGGCTCTGATAGTGCTTATCCACAAAGGAGTCAGTTAGTAGAGCTAGACCTAGACGTATTTTTTACAAGTGCTATGAATATCGATGACGTTATTTTTATTATAAACATTATAATTACTATAATGTTATAAACATTATTAACAACAAAATCAGATAACGTCAAGTAATTCGTAAATCAATGAAAAGAGTGAACGGACAAGACCGGCAGTAATCATAACTAGCTCATTGGTGTCTTAAAACAAGTGTAGCCATCTATGTGTAAAACAGTCAAACAAGTAAACTCACAGTGGGCATGGCATGTGCGTACATACCATGCCCTTCAGCAATGGGTTAATTGTCTTAAATGTTATCGAGATTTTAATAACAATTGCCGGCTGAGCACATGTAGAGCCATGTAACAACAAAAACTACAGAACATAAATCCGGGGTGGTTGGGTTAATAACACACAGTCAATACCCGCTGTCTTCTCTATCCATCGAATACCTTTCTGGCAAAACAAAAATAAGGTAAACTTGAATTTCATCGAGTCTTCATTAACGATTCATTTGTTAGGGAGAAATAACACAAACTTAGGTTATGTTGTTTATGTATGTTCCATGTTTGTATAGATTACCTACACCGCTAAAGCAAGGCCGTGAATTGTGATCTATCTTGTACTGAAACTTTTATTTGAGGATGAGAATTATTGGTTTAAGAATATAGGTTGCTACAAATAACAAAAATATACGACAAATGCAATAAGCATCAATATCATTATTAATATGATTATAATCATCATTATAATCATCAATATCGGCGTCTAATGTCATATAATTATAGTAATAACGAGAACACTAGTCATCATAACAATTAAATTATAAATAAAAAAGAAAATAACGAAAAACACCATCCTATACAAAAGAATGTACAAGACAACATAAATGAAATGCATAAAAAAGAAAACATATAAAAGAAATAGTGAATGAATGAGTGAGAGACAAAACAGTTCAAGTGCATTCAAAACTGCGTGAACGTCTGGCTTCACTTGACGACGAGGAATATTGGATTGTTCGAAGCCGTTTTCAAATTCATTTTTTTGTTTTCTTTCCTGTCGTTTGTGTTTCGTTGTTGATATTTTCGTTGTTTGTTATCTCGCTTTCTCTTTCTCATCCTCTTTCTCTTCCTCTTTCTCTGTTTCTCTTCCTCTTTCTCTCTCGTCTTCCTCTTTCTCCCTCGTCTTCCTCTTTCTCCCTCGTCTCCCTATTCCTCCCTCCCTCTCTCTTTCTCCCTCTGCCTCTCAGTCTCTAAATCTCACTCTCACTCTTTCACTCACATTTTCTCAATCACTCTTTCTCACTCATTCTCCCTCTCCCTCCCCTTGTCACTCTCACTTTCATTCTCCCTCTTCCTCTCCCTCTAATTCTCACTCTCCTTCTCCTTGTCACTCTCACTCTCACTCTCTCTATCATTCTCCCTCTCCCTCTCAGTCTCCTTCTCCTTCTCCCACTCCCTGTCACTCTCCCTCTCATTCTCCTCCCTATCATTCTTCTTCTCCCTCTCATTCTCATTCTCCCTCTCCCTCTCCCTCTCCCTCTCCCTGTCACTCTCCCTCCTATTCTCCCTCTCCCCCTCCCTCTCCCTCTCCCTCTCTCAATCCCGCCAATATTCCCCCTGTTATAAACCCAGCGCAGTTTCCAGTCATTAAATCTCTCCATCTCCAGTGACCTCGATATCTTTATTCTTTTAAACAATTTAGAATCGTCTTTAAGCACTCTCACTAATGAAGGAATCTTCGCCTACTTACCGGGATAATATTCGCTCTTGGATGTAAGAGGAATAAATGTTTATATGTTAAAAAAGAAACGGAATAAAAAATGAGAGAAATGAAAAAAAGAGAGAATGATATAACAACACTCACCTTATTGCGTTGATATGAAATAAATGAGAAATTATCCAAAACAAATCAATAGAATCAAATAAAAGAAGGGAAAACAAATAAGAAAAAATAAGAGTGGAAAGGGAAGAAGAAGAAGAGATAGAGAATATCGAAAGGAAAAATAACACTCACCTAACTGCGATGATGTGGTCTATCCCATCAAAGTCGTCCATAAGACCCGGAGGACAGTTGGAAATGATGTCTAAATTCTGCTTCGGTTTCGCCGCCTTATCGCCCTTGGGAAGCCCTGAGATCAGGTCGTTCTGAAGTTGGCATTTTTCAGCCTTCAGGGCCTTCGCGTCTTTTAGCGAAGTTATCCCTGCTGGCGAGGCCTTGGTGAATAGAAAACGGGCCGATGCGCTGTCTCCC